GCCAACCTGGCATCGCTTGGTAGATTTCCACTTGTGATAAATTCTATGATTGGGTCCATCCAGGATGGTTTGTTGTCAATATCCATGATGTCGAGGATTTGACTGATGCTGGGTTCTGTGATGATTTTAATGTAAACTATTCTGTCAAGGCCGTCTACCCCCATGAACACAAGCCTGGATAATGCGTCAGCTTTTCCATTGTCCTTTCAAGCAATTTTTGTAATTTCACAGCTCTTGAATTTTCGTTGAAGATCCTGAACCTTCATACAGTACAAACTCATTTTCTCCTCCTTTCTTTCAAATGATCCTTCAATCTGTCCGACCACTAGTTGTGAATCGCTGAATATCTTTACGAACTCGAGCTCTAGGCAAAGGGCTAGCTCAAGAGCAATAACGACGGCCTCATACTCGGCCTCGTTGTTGGTTGCTTTAAACTCGAACCTGAGAGCGCATTGGATCTCTGTTTGTTTGTCAAGGCTGATGATGATGACCCCTGCACCCGAGCCCGAGGAGTTCGATGCTCCGTCCACAAGAATTTGCCAAGTGTCCAAATCGGTGCTCATGCTCGAGCTATCACCTGGCCCCCGAGGCCTAGGGATTAGTTCTGCAATGAAGTCGGCCAGAGCTTGGGCTTTGATAGATGGGCGTGGTTTGAATTCTATGTCAAATTCTCCAAGCTCGATCGCCCATTTCATCAGTCTTCCCGATACGTCCGGCTTCTGAAGTATATGCCTAAGTGGTTGATTAGTGAGCACCACAATAGGGTGAGACTGAAAATATTGTCGGAGTTTCCGTGCTGCTATAACCAAGGCAAGGGCAAGTTGTTCCGCCAAAGTATACCTTGTTTCTGCATCCAGTAGGACCTTGCTTACATAGTAGATAGGTTGCTGGACTTTGTTAACCTCTTTCACCAAGACCCCACTGACAGCGTTTTGAGATACGGCCAAGTACAAAAATAAGGTGTCACCAGGCTCAGGCCTAGTGAGAATCGGTGGAGATGCCAATGTCTGCTTGAGCTCCTGGAAAGCTTTCTCACAGTCTCCACTCCAATCAAAGCCTTGGTTTCCTCTTAGGATTTTGAAGAAGGGATAGCACCTGTCTGATGCTCGGGACATGAACCTGTTCAAGGCTGCTATTCTCCCAGTCAACCTCTGTACCTCTTTCTTGTTCCTTGGTGATTCCATAGACGCCAAGGCTTGTATTTTGTCAGGGTTGGCCTCTATCCCCCGATGAGTGATCATGAAGCCCAAGAACTTGCCCGAGGCCACGCCAAATGCACATTTTGCGGGGTTCAACTTCATTCCGTACTTTCGCGAGGTGTTGAACACTTCTTCAAGATCTGAAATATGTTGGTCCACCTGTCTGCTTTTGACCACCATGTCATCAACGTACGCCTCCACATTCCTTCCAATCAAGTTAGCAAAGACTTTGTTGATGAGCCTTTGGTATGTTGCCCCTGCATTCTTCAAACCGAAAGGCATGACCTTATAACAGTATATGGCGGAATCGGCCATGAATGAGGTCTTTTCTTGATCTTCCTCAGCCATGAGGATTTGATGATAACCAGAAAATGCACCCAAGAAGCTGTATAGCTTATGTCCAGACGTGCTATCCACCAAGTTGTCAATCCGTGGTAGGGAATAACTATCCTTTGGACATGCTTTATTAAGATCTGTGAAGTCAATGCAGACTCTCCACTTGCCATTAGCCTTCTTCACCAAAACAACATTGGCAAGCCAGTCGGGATATTGGACCTCCCGAATGAACCGAGCACTTATGAGTTTGTTAATTTCTTCGCGGATGACCTCCCGACGCTCTGGGCGAACTGTCTTTTCCTCTGCTTTACTGGCCTGGCCCCTGGGCTAATGTTAAGCCTGTGGACTGCAATTTTAGGGTCTATCCCTAACATATCCTCAACCTTCCAGGCAAAAACGTCAATGTTGCGCGATAAGCAACCAACAAGTTCTGTCTTCAGGGTGACGTCAAGATCCCGACCAATCGTCACCTTCTTATCATGCTCGAGCTCAATTTCCATCAATTCCTCGACGGGAGCAAGTCTGACTTGTTGCCCATCCTCGGGATCAATCCTCGAGATTTGCATGACGTCGTTATTTATTTCCCGAACGCTGGCAACATAGCATTGTCTGGCAGCTATCTGGTCTCCACGGACAACCCCAACGCCATTACTTGTTGGAAACTTCATGGCCAGGTGGAAGGTAGACACAATGGCTTTAATTTTGTTCAGGAGTGGTCTTCCCAGAATTGCGTTATAGGCCATTGAGACACGTACCACCTGGAAAGGTGTCATCTCCGTAATCTGTTTCTGGCTAGAACCCAAAGTTAGAGGGAGCTCGACGACACCCTTTGGAGTGATGACTCCTCCCCCAAACCCCTGGAGAGGAGTTTTAACCGCTTTGAGTTGCTGAGATGAGATTCCCATTTTGGCAAAAGCTTCTTATGAAAGTATATTGGCCGCACTCCCGTTGTCAACCAAGATCCTCTTTACTTCAAAATTGGCCAAAACCACTGAGATTACCAAGGCGTCATCATGTGGGAGTGATACGCCTTCTAAGTCTCCGGTCCCAAAAGTGATATCCTCCAGCTTTCCATGAGGCATCCCAGAGGCCAAGGCATATCGTCGGGCATACTGTTTTCTTCCATTGTTGGAGTCTCCTCCCGAGGCAATACCTCCAATGATAATATTGATGGTTCCAGCAGTGGGTTGACCATCCCTTTTGCCTCAGGGTCTTTTTCCCTGCCACGATCATTCCTTGGGCGCTTGTCATTACCGATGTAGGAGCTCAGTAGTCCTCTTTTAATAAGGGCTTCAATCTCCCGTTGTAGGGCCTTACAGTTCTCTGTGGTATGCCCATGATCCCGATGGAACTCACAGTACTTGTTCATGTCCCTGGATTCGGGTGGTGACCTCATTCTGACAGGCCATTTCAGTTCCTTCATATCCTTGATCTCCATCAATATATTGGTCTTTGACGTATTTAGACGCGTGAACGGCGTCGGGGGAACCTCCTGCCTCTGTTTTTTCCGATGCTGTTCTTCACGAGGGTTCGGGTCATGCTGTCTTTTATGCTCGACCTTGTCATGGGATGGTCCAACCTTTCTCGGGTTCAGTGTTTCCTCCATATTTATGTACTTCTCAGCTCGGGTAAGAAGCTCGATGACTGTCTTCGGCGGAGTTTTGGATAAGGACATCTTGAAAGCTTCGCACTTTATGGCATATGTGAGGGCAGAAACTGCTGCAGTTATGTGTAGGTCGGGAATCTGAAGTCTTTCCTTGTTGAACCTGGTCATGAAGTCACGTAGGGTCTCATTTTGCCCTTGTCTAAGTTGCATAAGGAAAGCTGCTGTCTTCCTGATGCGTTTGTTGCTTGCGAAGAAAGCGGAGAACTTGTCCGCCAAATCCGAGAATGAGGCTATGGAGTTGGACTCTAAGGTTGAGAACCAATCCCTAGCAGCATTCGTCAAAGTTTGCGAGAAGGCCTTGCACATCACCTGATCCGGTGCAACCTGCAGATTCATGATGTCCGTGTATATGTTCAGATGATTGATTGGATCGATGGTCCCATCATACTCTTTGATCCTAGGATACTTAAATCTGTCCGGCAAGGGGAATGTTAATATCTCGGGAGTAAATGG